TTTTTTTTTGATATTTTAACAATAGAATCAGCAGTCCATTTAATTATTTTTATTAAATTATTTTATTTAATTTACTCTACATAAACTTAAATAAAATAATTACATGAGAGATAAAAGCCTAAATCAATTTTAATAATTTTTATTTTAAGATTTAAAAAAATACAGATTATCAAATAATATGATTTAAAGAATAATAGGGTTTAGTTATTATTTATATAAAATTTAAGATAAAAAATATCATAATATATTGTTATATAAATTTTTGACAAATACTCTAGGTCTAGTATTTTATAATGAATAATTTTTAAATAATAAATATAAAAATCTTTTACTTGATTATCAAATATTCTAAATATTGGAGGATGAACTCATTAAGAAAACTGTAGATATAAAATAAGTAGCTAAATCTTGATTTGATTTTTTTGAAAAATAAGTAATTGAGATCCAGATTAAAATTTCGAAATCTATATTAATAAATTTATTTTAATAGAGTTTATTGATTTACCTTAATTTTAATTTTTGGAGCACTAAAATAATATATGAGAATGAAATTAAATCTTCCATGAACTTTATTCTAAGATTCTATGAGGATTAAATAAATAATATGGTTCTAATATAAATTTGTTTTTTTGATTTAGTTGAACTTAAATACTTAGCTAAAATTCTGCAAGAGTATAATGGAGTACTCCATTTAAATCTTAATTTAATTGACAAAAATTAACTATATAATCTGAATGAAACTATTTCCTCTAAATAAACGCCATCCTAAACTTCCAATTTTTGAAAAGTTTGGGCCTGTAAAACTACTTGATTAAATTGATTGATGCATATTATTGTTCTCGCTTTATGAGAATTTGCACTACAGAAATCAATCCATCATAAATTGGGTTAGTGATTAAGATAGCTGGCTAATACCGTATTTGTTAAATTATCGAATAGTTCAAATAAAAATATTCATCTAATTCTAGTAAGTAATCAAATCCTTAGTTTTTTGATCTCTCTAATTATTTAATGATATAGATATTTGAAGATTATTTGAAATTTTGAGAAGTTAAATTAGATATTCTTAATATCATGAGCCTAATGAGTTGGAATTTTTACATGGATTCTGATTATATATATTATCCAAATGAGAAAGGTTTTTACATTTGGATTTTGTTAAGGGTCATTGTTAGCTCCTTTTCTATTTAATATTTACGTTAATGAGAAAATTGAATAATTGTTTAAATTAATTCAGGATATGCAAATAATTTAAGATTCAAAATGGGAATAAAAACATCAAAAATAATTATTTTGTAATCCCAATAAGTTAAAGTAATAGCTTATGCTGATGATTTAGTTATTGTTTGTAATCATAAATATATTGAATGAACTATCTATAAATTTTTTAGGGTTTGATGAAGAATATAAATTTTAAATAATCAAACTTAGTTAGAGTATTTATTAGGACATGAAAATTTGTAATAACCTGTCTTTCTATGGAATCAAGTATATTGACTATGATAAAATGATTAAAAATTATTTTTTCCGCAATTGAAACTACTAAGCTTTAATTTTCGAAATAACATTTTAGAAATCTAAAGCTTTTTAAAAAAGAAGATTCAATAAAGAACAGTAACTTGTAAACATATGATGAATAAGTGTTTGATCAAAAAATATATTATAATTATGCATTCAAAATTTATTCTTCATATAAAAAGAATAGTTAGTATATAAATTGGATGGTTTACTAAATTATTTTAAATAAGCAAGTGGAAAAATAGGAAAACTTTATCTTATGGTATAATCTTCTTAAGGATAAATGAAGTAAATTTAAATATATATTAAGGTGGTTAAATTTTTCATACTAAGAATTATGATGATATTTGTAATTTCTTGTTTTTTGGAATAATTTAATATATCAATCCAAATTTAATAGATTTAAACACTAGTTTTTGAAACAAGATTTTGAATTTGAAATTTAATGATTCCTGATGAGATATATACCACTATATCATACTCTTAAATGGTAGTAATTATATAGTTTAAAAATAACAAAGGCATTTTAATTGGTGATTTGTATCCCTAATTACGATATAGATAAACAAAGGAAATAGTTTTGTTTTAAAACTAGTGCAGTAATATTTAATGATCTATAATGCATTGATGTATCCATATAAATAATATTGAAATTTTAAGAAATATTATTTGTTAAATAAAAGATTTTTAGTGGTAATCTTAAAATTAAGTATATACTAAACAAAGATTACCTTATTAGATTTAAATATGCTAGTAAAAATGTTAATCTGGTTTAAACCATTTATACTGTATTCCAAAAAACTTTTTGTTTAGATCTAGAAATTCGAAGAGGATTAAATGGTAATTTTTTATCCTATATCACAAAGGTTTGGCTTAGATTTTATTTTCGTTGCTACAATTATTCATTGCAGGCAGCCCTTTCTCTATTCTAATTTTTCCAGTGCCTTCATCTTTTTTGACTTTAAAAAGATTAAAAAATAATCAATTATTAAAAAGAATCATCAATGTATTGCGATAAAAAGATTTAATTCTAGGTAATTCTATTATTTTTATTATAGTAGAAATTCAAATGGATAATTTTAAATTTAATCATATTGATTTCAATTATTGTCTATAACATTCATCTAATATTTATTAATGCAATTTAAAGGTATTATTTTCAATTTAATATGAGTCTTTTGTTTACTTAATAATAATATTACTGATAAATAATTTAATTTATTTTTCTTCAAAAAAAGTAATAACAGTGAATCTTTTGAATATATTCCGCTCAATAATATAGAAAAGTTACAACTAACTTACTTTTTGCTACCCTACGCCTCACCTTGAGTTTCTATTCCGAAGCTTTCCTACTAATAAGCAATTAAATTGTAATTTCGTAACTGAAAGTAATTAAATAGTATTTATTTATTTAAAAATTTATTATCGTATTTCTCTAACTAAAGGGTATTTTATATGCATACAAATTAAACTTTTTCGTTTAAACATTTATTATAATCAGTCTTCAATTTATACTTAAACCTTGAATTACAATTCTAAAGTTTTTTTTTGTTTTAAATAATAGATAATTTAATATTTATAAAAACATATTTTAAATAAAAATTTAAATTCTTTTGTCTATTAAGCGATTTTCTTGTTCTTATATTTATAATTTAGATAAAATGAAAATTGTTTATTCTTTTATTAACAAATTTAATGAAGGCGGAAGCAGTGAGCTGTGCTTTAATGATAGCACGCCAAACAATAGCATGAGTATCAAAGTGATTATATGCTCGCAAAATATAAAATCAGATACTCAAAATAATTAAATTATACTTTCGTGAAACGTCTCTTCAATTAAATCAGTAACTCTTAATGAAGCTAAACTAAAAGGATTACAGAAAAAAAGAAAAAAAATTACTAAATCTCCTTCATATATGTATTTTAATATATTGAGACGTCATAATCCAAATAGGTGAGGAGGAATAATAATTTGGATCCAAAAACAATTCTTTTCTAAGAATATGTCGAATTTACTGCCTAAGGTCCGTGACTTGTTAGAATGCTTATTAATTCAAATAACAGGTTAACAATTAGAATTATTTATACTAAATAATGACTCACCTTTAAAATAGTATTATTAAAAATCAAAAAAAAGTTCTAGAAAACTTTATTCTAATGCTCATCCATGCAAAGGGTAAAGCATTTTTTTTTTGGTTGATATCAATTATCCTACAAATTAAATGCCCTTCAATGAAGAATGTTATTTCAATCTAATAGTACACATTCAGAAGAATTTTAGAATAAAAAGAAGTTAAGAGTATCTTTGTAATATTCAAAGTAATAGATAATATTTTCGTTAATTTTTTTAAATGAAATTTAGATAATTAATAGAAAAACTTACTATTATTAATTTGAAAACGATAACCATACTTATCATATATTAGAAATTTGTATTCAGGAAAATTGTCAGCAAACAAAGATGGCCTATTTTCTCAAAATTATTTCGTTAATTCGATTTACTAAAGTTCTAAAAATTTCAAATAGCTCTACTCCTAAATAAACATAAATTAATTTTTTTAGAAAGAATTTAAGTGAGCAGCAGCTATAAGCTTAAAGATCCCCATTCAACCAAATACTTAAAGTGTAATTAATGAAAAGTTATAGTAAATTTTTCACAAAAATATTAAATTAAAAGAATTAAATCTCGTTGAAAAAATGAAATCTTTCTTATCAAATTTCGTTTATGACTTT